TATGCTTATGACTAACGGACACTCAGTTCTGGGACGTGTGGTTGGACAAGCTGACACGGATTTGCCTTAGTAACGGGTAATCCAGTGAATTCATGGAAAGAAATGTAGGTGTCATAAAGAGTGGATTTCAACTTGGATTTTATGAAAATCCGATCAGGAATCAGACGGACAAGCAAAAGTAGATATGTCTGCCCTCATGCAAACGGAGCCAAAAATGGCTGCAGTCGATCAGAAAATGAAATATCAAAATGATAGCAAAGAAGAAGATAGCAATTTTCACCAGTCTGCCGACGCAACACCAGATGACGGACAAACTGTATTGATCGGGGGTTTATTGCATCAGATGCGTGTCCCCAATGGTCAAGTCTGTCATCAGTCACCTCGCCTTCCGGCGTAGATACGAAAAAGATACACGACATGTATGCACACACACTGTCTGGCCAACTATACCTTTAGCCTTCGTTTCATATCCTACATCTCGCAGGTGGAACGATGGGTACATCTTTTGGCCAATTCCATGTCTGACGCGTCTCACTGCAGTCGCCTTTTCTTCATTTCCCTTTTTCCTCATGAGCCGGCCTTGGTGATGTCTCTTCCTGTTGTTCAACGGTCGTCCTGCGTCCAAGCGTCTTCTTTTTCATGTATTCGTTGAACCTCCGAATTCCCTCTTGCAATCGCCTATTCATTGTGTTTCTTTGAGAGAGGTTGTCCACAGCCTCCCTGATATTCCGTTTCCTGTTGTTTTCCCCACATGAGGCCAGTCTTCCTGTTGCATTCCAGTTGATTGTGTGGCCGGTAAGGATGATGTGTTTAACCATCTTCGATCTTTCCGTATCCATTTTCCCGCATAGTCGCTGGTGTTCTTTGATCCTTGTGCTGACTGTCTTTTCCTGTCTCTCAGATGCATTTTGGTTCACAATGCTTGCAGTTTATGCTGTAAACTACGGATCACTCGATTTTGTTGACTTTTTCATGTCGTGTGGGCAAGCTGGTGAAGAGGGTTGCCCTTTCCTTGAGGATTGTACGAATGTTCCATTTCCCTAGAATTGCCCCCAGCTTCCGAGCCAATTCGCGGGAGGGCATAGATATACACACTTTTTCTTATGCTCCTCTTGCTTTCCTTTCATATTCTCAGGCCTTCCATTAGTTCATCAGCATCCGTATGTTGCGATGTATCGTTTCTTCTGGATATCCGTTTCCAAGAAACATCTGAATTAGCTTAACCAGTTCATCTTTCCAAAACTCATAATAAGTGCATCGTAGGCTTCTTATGACACTATTCCGGCTTATTTCAATCTTCATCGCACAAGCATAGTTCGACTGGAAGTCAAGAGCTCTTCCAACATGTGAGTTATTTCGGAAAATTTATTTCTTAAGAGTATCCTCGGAGCGAAGGACCTCCACATGCAAGAACGGTAAGTGTCCGTTCTCTTCCACGTTCATGATAAATTTGACTTTTTCATCCATTTCGTTTGTGAAGATAAAGAAATCGTCTAATTATTCTTTGCCATGCGAGATAATTGTGAAGTATTGTTAGGAGGACCTTCATTTCGTATAAAAGTGCATGAAGAAGAGATTCGTTGGTCGATCTCACCAGATGAGAACGGATGAAATTCGTTGTACTGCAGCCGGTTGGATTTTATACGATATTCACGTTAACACAGTCCACAGAACTTCCTCCTCGTTTCGGGTGAAAACGGATTGAGCTTTCCTCCATCAAATGATGGACATCATCAGAGCTGGGTGTCATTTTTGTAAAAGTCAAATGTTAACACTAGACCAAGAAGCCTTATACAAGAATGACACCCAGCTCTGACGATGTCCATCATATGATGAACGAAAGCTCAGCACGTTTTCACCCG